AAAAAAAAAAAATAAAAAAAATGCAATGTTTTGATATGGCAGCCATCGCCATTGTTGAAGTCCGATTGCCGAATCATGGTCGAAAGGGCAAGATCACCTTTTTTTTATATATATTTTTTCTTTATTTTTTTTGATATGGCTGCCATTGTTCAAGTCCTTTTGCCAATTTCTTTTCTTTTTTTTTTTTTCTTNNNTTTCTATTTTTTTTTTCTTATCTTTGCACTTTGTAATAGTTGGGTGTTTTAAAAGGAAAAATTATACTATTCTTTCACTAATTATACATTCGTTGCACTTTTGTCCTTTAATTGTCCGGTTTACAATTGGTACAGTAACTTTTTTTGGGGTAATTTTAGTTCAAAATGACATTTCGGTGCTCATTTTCGCCGGAATAGCTGATGTGGCGCCCAGTCAGATCGGAATTTTCATTCTCGGCGTAATGTGGCACGAGTTGGGCCCAACTGTTTTTACACATGGAACAAAATAAGGAAAAATTGCATTATTCGTCCAGTAACTTTACATTCATTGCACTTTCGTCCTTTAATTATTTCCGGTTTACAAAAGAAAAAAATATTAAAAAAATCAAAAGAAAAATAAAAAATTATAATTTTTTATTTAATAAAATTATTTTTTAATTTAATAAAAAATAAAATATTTAATAATTAAATAAAAATGAAATATTTAATAAAAACAAAATAAATTTCTAATGAGTGAAAAATATATTTTATTTAATGATTAATTATTTAATGAAAAAATATTATATAATTAAAAATGAAAAATGTATTTTGTATTTAATATGTCATTTATTATTAAATATTTAACCATTAAATAAAAAATATTTATTAAATATTTATTACTCGTGAAATATTTATTTCATTTTATATTTCTTTTTTATTAAATATTTATTTTTATTTAATCATTAAATATTTTGTTTTTTTATTTAAATAAAAAAATATATTGTTATTAAACAAAAAAATGAGAAATATTTCTTTTTTATTAAATATTTAACCATTAAATAAAAAATATTTATAAAATATATATTACTCATTAAATATTTCGTTTTTTTATTAAATAAAAAATTATTTTTATTAAAAAAGTAAAAAAATGATAATATTGTTTTTTATTAAATATTTAATCATTAAATAAAAATATTTATTTCTCATGAAATATTTATTTTGTTTTTCATTTTTTTATTAATTATTTCGATTTTTAATTAAATAAAAATGTATTTTTATTAAATAAAAAATTAATATTTTTTTATTTTGTTTAAAATCATTAAACAAAATGATATTTTTATTAATTAATATTCTTTTTTCAATTTTTTTTTATCCACATGTGGAATTTAAAGCTTTTTCTTTTTCTTTTGGTTTTTTTAATTTTTTTTCTTCTGATTTTGTAAACCGGAAACAATTAAAGGACGAAAGTGCAACGAATGTAAAGTTAGTGGACGAATAGTGCAAATTTTCCTTATTTTGTTCCATGGGTAAAAATAGTTGGGACCACTTCGTGCCACATTGTTGGGACATATGAGGATCTCGATATGCGCAAATCACGGACAAACATTCAACATAAACCTATGCGCAGTGGATCTAAAGGTTTGATGAAGAAAACTTACTGCTTAAAATTTATGTAGATCTGGCTGGCCCGGACAGATGACCGCAAATCAAATCTTCTCGGAATCGAACAAACTTGACCAATCCAGAAAGCTGACGTCACGGCAAAGTCAACGGCGTTGACCGATCGGAAATCAGACGATCCACGCGCTCTCACGCGCGCGAGTAAGATCCGGCAGCTGCTCCCTTCCGGCGGCGCGTGGCGGCGATCTCGACGGCGATCTCTTCGTCTCGTCGCCCTGGTCGTCGTGGTATGGTCGCTTGCTGGTTTTGGTCTCCGGTTTGGATGTATGATAGATATGATT